AAACTTTTCATAGACGAAAAAAGTGCATCCTAAAAATGGGTAACTTTTATATTATTTCATAAATATGACTCATTTATCATTTGTTATTATAAAGTATAGACAAATTTTTAAAAATAATATCAGAATTATACATTTTAAGGCCGTGCTTTTTTAGGCCAAATAGCACCAATACCCCTTCGTGGTTTGGAAAAAGGCATCAATACCTCCATGTTTCCAAAACTTATTTTTAACGTTCTTGTGGTTTCAAAACATTGCATCCATATCCCCTCGGATCATCTTCCAGTAATTTTTCTAACGAAGAAGGGGGTATTGGTGTCTATTTTCCAAACCAAAAGGGGCACTCATGCTCATTTCTTATTTTTCATTTATTTTTTGTTTTTCCCTTTTTTTTATTTCTTTTATTAGTCAAAGTTTTTTTAAAATTTCTTTTTAAAATTGTCTTTATGATGTCCTTAAAATTTAGAATTATTTTTGTTTGAAAAAATTTTAACATATACTGCATTTGTAAGTCTTAAATTAACCATTTTCTTTTATTTTTTTAAAATAAAAATTTAAAAACTTATTTTGAGAACTTCAAAAAAAAATGTGGAATATAATAAGAAATAAAATAAAAGAGAAAATAGAAATGAATATCCTTGTTGAACATTCCATTCCTAAGGACTTTTTTAGGCATTTTGAAATTCCTTTTTATATACTCCGGGGTAAGACTCTTTTTTTTAATGTTTCAATTTTTTTCATTTCGTTTTTCTATATGTTTATTTTTATTTTTTTTCTTTTTGAAGTTACCAAAAAAATTATTATAGAAAACAAAAAGTTAAAATTTTTAATTTGAGAAAGGTGGAGTCTATGTTTTTTTTATTTCAAACACTAAGAATTTTAAACTTTTAAAAACATTATAAAAAATTTTAAAAAATAAAAAAAAATTCTAGGAAATACGATATAAAATGTATTTATATTGTCAATTATGACCAGTGGCGGACCCAGGAATTTCGGTGAGTGGGTTCACATTTTGTGCACAAAAAGAAAATGTTGATATTTGTATAGCAATAAATTTAAAACAAGGTAAAAAAGTATTAATAAATAGCATTCTGAGATAAATATTGCAAGTTGTATGTAATATTTTTGAAATACTGTATAATAAATATAATACGTTCATTGCTTTAACCAAAAAAGAAAAAAAAAACTAAACAACTAAAATATTAATTCTAGAAATTTCTTCAAATACTAAGTATATTTTAGGAAGCTTTTTAAAACAATTAAACTTGTTCATACATTTCAAAAAAATTGAACATTTTATAATTAAGTTTCGTAATTAAAGTTAAATCAATTTTCCAAATCTAAAAGAATTAAAACATAAAATTCTACACAATTATAAAAGGTGTTCTCTGTTCCATTTTCAAAAAAATAGCACCTAATCATATATAAATATACTCTTCTTGGATGCCCTTAATGTACATATAGTAGCTAATTACAAACTACTACTAATAAATAATTTTTTTTGGAGTGGGTGCAATTGAACCCACTTGCACAACCGTAGGTCCGCCCCTGATTATGACTATAATTATTACCAAAAAATATTATAAAATATATTCATATACAATATCACATTATCACAGTGAGAACTTCTATTTTAGAGATAAAAACATAGAAATCTTGTTTTGATACATCATCTACGTTTTACTCATTTCTTAGCAAGATATGGAGAATTCCCTAATTTAGTTTAATTTGGAGTATACTAGTATCACACCCGTGCGTTGCACGTGTCATTTATATGTTATTACATTCGAATCATTTTTCAATGATAAAAAATGAGATGCAATAGAATATAAAGATTATATTATTTGAAAATGCAAAACATCAATGTTTTACAAATTTCGAAAGACTTCTTTATAGAATCAATAAATTTGTATTACTATTAAATACTCCGTACATAAAGAAAATCAATTGACTATTAATATTATTAGGGTATTTATTAAATTATATCCGTACATAATTACTAATTCCAAATAAGAATGGAATCCAATTTTTTCATAAATTAGGAAATTAGAAAATACATCTAATTAATTTAGGTATTTAAATGGAAATTTGTATTTTTTTTCCTTTTTGGTCCTTCGTGACTACTTGAATTGAATTTAAATATTTAAATTATGCCATTATTTACTTTCTACAATACTAAATTATTAATAGCTCATAAAAATTAATCTTGTTCACAATTTATAAACTAACGTAATTTGCAAATAGTGAATAATTTAGGAAAGAAAATAAAATTAAAGCCTAATTCTCACTTAAACTCTTATCATTAATAAATTTACTTTTTATTACTCGGGTATTAAAACTAAATTAAAATTATTCAAAAAAAATGAACACGTATTTCCATAAAAGCCAAAATTATTTCCTAAATTATTAACTATTTACTAATTTAATTAGTAAATCCCGTGTATACCCTTTAAATTATATATGATTCAATAATTTAAAAATACTCCTTGTGGAATACATAAAATAAGTCTATTACCATAGATGAATATGCAATATATTTAAGGTGAAAAGTAACTTAATTTTTTTCTAACTTAATATAGGAGCTAAATTAAATAAATTAATTTAGCTCCTATATTAAGTTACTTTCAACCGAATGAAAACATTGACGTGATTTCTCCATAACGTACAATTCAACCGAATGCCACTACAAAAAAAAGTTATAATAATTTTTAAATATAATATGTGTCGCAATTTTTTAGTAATTAGCTAACCATGAAATAACGTATCATTCAAATAAATTATTTAGTAATTTTTTCAAAGTATAATATTTTTTTAATTAAAATGAATTTGGTTATTAAAAAGTCACTTACTTGTGGTTCTCCAAGGTAACTTCCATCATTTGCTCTGGGACATTATTAACCATACGGGTTTCGGACGCAGTTCGACTAATTATGTAACGCCACAAGATATGGCCTAAAATTTATTATAAAACAATAGTAGTTTTTATCCAATAAAGAATATTTGTACGTTTGACTAAAAATAAATGGATTTTCAAAATAATGACTTTTTGTTAAAAAGTTATATTTATGGATATGTCTCGAAGAGACGAATCCAACGGTACATTTTATAAACCAATCTGATTTGTAGATTTCAAGTTATGTCAATTTTAAATAGTAAAATTTGTAACTTTGACCCATAAAATAAACTAAATTCAAAAGTGATTTCATCAGATTAGAAATCATAATTTTGACACTTGACAATATCATATTTATCATTTGGATTTAATTCATATATTTTTATCTCATTCATATTATTATATTAAATTATGACTGAGACAGACCCGGACACTGAGAAAAATAAAAGTTCTCAGAAAAATATTTTGATTACGTCAAAATTCTAGTTTTGACAGTCTGATTCCAAAAATACAATTTGTTTTCAATTCGGAACAGTTTGGGCGAAAAAGCGCGTACCGTTTTAGTCAGTTTATCAGTTACGGAGTAAGAAAATAAATTTGATTCCCCAAAACCCTCCAAGTCACCTAGAGACACTCTCATCCCTTCCAATCCTCAATCAAACCAACCCCACTACCATATACCTCCAATTCCTTTTCCCTATAATATCACCCTACCACTACCATCATCATAATCATCCACCATCATCAACATTCATCTTCTCCTCTCCATCTCTCCCTCTCTCTGTCGGCAGCAACAAGAAGAAGAAAAGAAAACTCCAACTCCATGGTAGTATGTTAAGGAAGAAGAAGAAGGAGCAAGAAAACCATCCAAAGTTTCCAAATTTTGAGTCCAAAAACGCAGCAGCAAC